CTTCTGCTCTTTATTTTTGGCAAATCCTAGCATGGGGAGGGGGTTCCAGGTCAGAATTGAAACAAAGTGTTCTGACTACATACTATGAACTCTCCAGGGCCTTTTTAGGAAGTAAAATCTCTTCCTTCTGCAAATCTTTATTGCCCCTATCTCATGGTTCAGTGTTCCTTTGTCTCTTCTAAATACTTCCTCATCTACTTACTTATTATCACTTCAAAAAAATTCTTCAAAAAATTTAAACTTTCTTCTTTACATCCACTAGGGGTTTCCCCTTCTATTCTTAGATTTTCAGAATCCGTATCTTTCAAGCGAGGGGGATAGAATAGCTGCTTTTGACATTATATAGGTTTTAAAAAATGTCACTGATAACTTAATATCTGAGATAAGATGGATTGAGGAAAATACTCATGTGAAAATATTCATGTGCATAAATTCAGGCTGATATGACAGCATTAACGTCCATAGTAGAACTAAGTGCCAACCATCACATCACTCATATTTTGTGCACAAGAGACAAGTGTATGTGCAGCTTGTGATGAGGCTGACCTTCTGTCCAACCTCGATCACTCTGCCAGCCAAATTAATGTGTCTTATCTTTCTCCTCAGCTCCTGGGCAACGTGATAGTGCGTGTGATAGCTCGCCACCTTGGATCCGAATTCACCCCACAGGCACAGGCTGCTTTCCAGAAGGTGGTGACTGGTGTGGCCAACGCCTTGGCTCACAAGTACCACTAAGATCCTGCCCTTTTCCTTGGGATCCATGGGAAGCCTTTGTTTCCCTAGGTCTGACCCCTGAATTGGGGGAAAGAACCAAGGGTATAACATTTGCTTAATAAAGAACTTTCAGCTCAACGCTTTGATTAATTTCATTTATTTCTCATTAATTTTAGTATATGGGGAAACCTAGAAGACAATTAATGGGGAGCTCTGTGGATGAGCACTATTATTTCCTATAGGAAACCTTTCCAGGCAATTGGAAAATAAGTTGATCATGAACAGCTATTAATGGAAACAGTTCTTTGGGCACAGTGTTTGGGAAGGTTTGTAAAACAAAGATGATCCCATCAACTTCAATCACAAGTCTTAGCGCCAAGGCTAACTTTCAGACCACTTTTCAATAACTATGTTTAAAAAATGGTCCATGTAAGAGTCTAAACTACAAGCACTCTATTCTTCCCCCATCTTCCTGTTTTCCTGATATATTTTAGCACACAGTCTATAGTCCACTCAAATGTTTCTACTTTAGAAGGCTATATATTTTTTTTCTTTTAGAACTCATAACACTAATAATTACTGTTCCTTGATCTGTCCTCGTCTCAGGAGTATTCAATGCTCACATAATACTTTTGACTTCTATTGACCGCAGTTCCTATGAACTTAAAAGTACTGTTTCAAAATTTTTTTCCCACCGCTTTTAGCAACTTTTGATATTTCAGTTGATCAAGCTTTTTTATAATGGTTTATGGCTTTATGTGTATATGATGAAGAATGTGTTTCTATGAGCAGAAGTGTAAAGGAAAAATAGTATTGTGAGTTACATGCTATAAGCTTTTATTTTACTTTTCATTGTGGTTTTAATAAAACTTCACAGTAACTTTGGATTTTCATTTATTCATTGACACACATTTTCCTCCTTCCAATTCATTTGTAGTGCACATCTTGTTCCAGATTGTTCATTGTCATACATATATGCCTAATCTCTGATTCCTTTAAAATAATCCTTCCCTTCTCCTATTCCATTGCAGTGTTCCTTATCAACCCTATTCCTGTTCTCCCCACTTCCCGTGCCTATCCTGTTTTTATAACAGTGGTCTTCTGCAGTATTTGTCATTTTATGATTGAGATATTTCACTCAGCATAATTTCTTCCAGATTTATCCATATTGTGTAGTATTTTACAAGTTCATTGCTTTTTAATGCTGTGTGGTATTATATTGTGTAAATGCACTAAAGTTTTTCTGTTTGTTTCTTGGGCTGTTTCCACCTCTTCACTATTGTAAATAATGCTGCAATAAATACAGATGTATAACAGAGACTTGTACAACAATGTTCATAACAGTATTATTCACAATTGTAGTAAAAACATGGAAACAGCCCAAATGTC